ATATTTTAAGGAGACTGAACTTTTAATGTATTTGACTTTGTAAGGACTGTGGGACTTTTAAAGTTATGTTTATACTGTCCTGTCATGCTAACATGCCGTCTTGGGGATACATGCGATAGGAAAGATTCAAACTGAAAAGTGGCGTGCTTGTGTGTCAAGCTGACAGGAGGTCTGTTGTAATGGACCCTTTTATGTCGACTTGACATAAGCTAGAGTCACCAGAGAGAATGGAGCCTCAGTTGAGCAAATGCCTCCATAAGGTGGGGCTATCGGCAAACCGTAGGGCACTTTCTTAATTAGTGGTCAATTGGAGTGGGCTCAACCCATTGTGGGTGGGGCTGTCCCTAGGCTGGTAGTCCATGGCTCTATAAGAAAGCAGACTGCGCAAGGCGTCTGGAGCAAGTCAAGCACCCTCCATGGGCCCTGAATCAGCTTCTGCCTCCAGGTCCCTGTCCTGCTTGAGCTCCCGCCCTCATTGCTTTTGATGATGAACTGTTATATGGAGCTTACCTTTCACTTCTCAGTCCGACCCTTAGGGAGGTCTTCCCTCACTAGGAATCTAAAGAGGTCCCCACATGCCTCTAGGCACTCTGGTGCCACCTTCTAAACTAAAACTTTTTTCTCCCATAACACTTAGGCCTCTCTGAGAAATCCTTTCACATTTTCTGCTTGTTTACGTCCCAACTGGAATGTGAGCTTCGTGAGAAAAGGAACCTCGACTTTCTTACTCACTTTACACTTGAATGTTCAGAATAGTGTTTCTCAAAGACAGTTTTCCCCAGGGCACATTTGGCAACGGTTGGAGACGTTTTTTGCTTATTGTGACTGAAGCTAGGGTACCACTGGTATCTAGTGGGCAGAGGCCAGGGATGCTGCTAAAATATGCACAGCACAAGTTCCCTCCCAACACCCAAGAAGGAATTCTTGGGCACTGAATACTAAGCTAAGGGCTAAAGTTAGGAAATCCAGTCTTGGAGCAACGCTGAGCACATAAAAGTAATCTGGTGCTCTCTTCTGGTCTCCGTGGGCAACTGCATAATAATTTTTCTTTCTAATTCTGTGGAGCATGTCATTGATAGTTTTGATAGAGCTCACATTAATTATTTTTAGGAAGTAGTGCTATTTAACAATAATGATTCTTCAAATCCAAGAATGTGTCATGTCTTTATATTCTTTTGACCTTTCCAACTTCTATTATGTTTTCATAAATTTCATTAAGGAGATCTTTTACCCTTTAGTTATATTTATTCATAGGATATTTTTGGTAGCCACTTAAAGATAGTTTTATGATAGAAGTGTGACTACTTTTTTTATTTCAATTTTCATAGAAAATTTTGTCTTACCCCTTCATTTCTAGTTTATGCATTTCCTTAGAGATAAGTTTACTTCTTTTGTCCTTCCTTCTTTTCTTTTCTTTTCTTTCTTTCTTTCTTTTTTTTTTTTTTTTTTGGAGACAAGGTCTCTCATGTCTTAGGCTGGCTTCAAACTCCTTACATAATTAATGGCAATCTTGAACTCCTGATCCTCCAGCCACTACCTCCAGAATGCTGGGATGCACAGTTTATGCAGTACTGGGGTGTAGGGAGCTAGTGAAGTCCTGAGTGAACGTGTATTTGACATGATCTGGTCATGTAATGAACCAAGGCCTTGGACCCATGAGAATTTGGTAAAAGCCTCTCCCCTGGTCAGGTTGTGTTGGTGAAGGCAGTCTGTGACAACCTAGGTTGATGGTAACCTGTGTCATGCTTGAGTTTCACAACCTCAAGGACATACATTCTCAGGGATGGCTAAGGACTGCCACAGCTCGGGATGATGCCAGAGTCTAGTTCCAGTGAAGTGCAGGTCCCAAAGAGGAGGTGTGGAGTCAGCAAGGGGAAGGAGCTAACAGGATCTAGGGGTGAATCAGGATGGCTGCCTATTTATTGGAAAAAGATTACACCTTTATACTCTATAATCACACAAAGGGTTGCATGGGAGAAAGGGGGCATGTGAGCTGGGCGTGACTTATGATCAGGAGTTGAGGAAACCAGCACCAAATCATGTGTTCTCAGAAGGGCCACAAGTTCTTCTTGCCAGAGATAAGAATATCTTCTCTTTTAGCAAGCAGGAACTTTCAAAACCCCAAGAGAATGGGGCTTTTGTCTAAATGCCTGACCTTGGAAAAAGGACTTTTCTCAGGAAATGAGAAGTTCCATTATAGAATACTGCAGTATTTTCTGTGGTTTAGTTTATCCAAATAGCTAAAGCTTAAAGTGAGCAAAACAAAACTAGACAAACATTAGTGTGAACCTGAGTAGACCTTAGGGATTTATAAATCTTGATTTCAAATATACCTTATTTATCAAGCATATGTTACTTACCTAAATTTTCTGGCAGCTCAGTGTTAACTTGTATAGCAGTAGGCAGAGTTATCACACTCTATGGTTCCATGGTGATGGAGATTTTTTCCAAAGAATTATTTTATTTAGAGAGACTGCCATTTTATGCATCTTCAGCCTTCAAAACCCACTCAAAATTTCCCAAAGGAAAAGGCATAAGAGTGAGAATCATTAAAAATGAAAGTAAAGGATGCTAGAGAATTGTGATTCACAAAGTCAAAATGCTGGAACTTTGTCAAGCACCAGTGGTCACCATACAGTTCCACACCAGGTGATGTCTGCAGAAACACTCGTCTGGTCCATTGGTGCCTAGGTCTTTGTGATGCAGGACTTGTGTGTATGTACTTTGTCCAGCTTGTGCAGTTTCTACTAAGTTCTGGTTACTCTGCGAAGGTCTGTCAGTGATCTCTAAGATAAACCTATCCCATCTCCCAGCAATTGGTGTCTTATTTCCTGCCCAGCTACCTGATGTTGCAAGAGGAGAGGTGGAACAGTCAGTCCCTTAGCCTAAGGTGGTTCTGGTAACTCAGTCTATGGACATTGGCTCGGTGGGGGTTGTGAGGATCTGTAGCAAGGAAGTTTCACTGTGTCAGGTCCGGTACAAGGTTTCAAGCCTAAAGACTGAACTTAACCATTCACATTCCCAAGTTGGAGACACTACTCTTTACACTGGACTGGTTGAAGTTGGGGTGCTTTCATCATTTGCTGGATGAAGGTTCTCTGATGGATTAAGGTAGTCATCAATATGATTACAGGGGAAGGCAGTTCAGGCACCGTGTCCACTATTGCTTAGGGTCTTGGCTGGGGTCATTGTGTGATTCCTGGGAATTTCCCTGGTGCCAGGTTTCTTGCTAGTCCCATAAGGGCTCCTTCAATCAAGATATCACTTCCCTTGCTCTCCCATTCTGTCTGTCCCCCATCTCAACCCTTCCATTCCCTCAATTTCTCCTCCCCTTTCCCTTTCTGCCCTCCCTTCTCCCCCTATGCCTAGGCTCCCACTTTTCTCAGATCTTGTCTGTTTCCCCTTCCCAGGGGAATCCATGTATGTTTCTCTCAGGGTTCTCCTTGTTACCTAACTTCTCTGGAGTCATGGACTATAGGCTGGTTATCCTTTGTATTATGTCTAATATCTGCTTATGAATGAGCACATGCCGTGTTCATCTTTCTGGGTCTGGGTTACCTCACCCAGGATGTTTTTTCTAGTTCCATCGATTTATCTGAAAATTTCAATGTCATTGTTTTTTATTGCTGAGTAGTACTCCATTGTGTAACTGTACCACATTTTCTTTATCCATTCTTTGGTTGAGGGGCATCTAGGTTGTTTCCAGGTTCTGGTTATTACAAATAATGCTGCTATGAACATAGCCGAGCAAATGTCTTTGTAGTATGATTGAGTATCCTTTGGGTAGATGTCCAAGAGTGGTATTGCTGGGTCCTGAGCAAGGTTGATTCCCATACTGATTTCCAGAGTGGTTGTACAAGTTTGCATTCCCACCAGCAATGGAGGAGTGTTCCCCTTACTCCACATCTTCTCTAGAATAAACTATCTTGGTGTTTTTGATCTCAGTCTTTCTGACTGGTGCAAGATAGAATGTCAGAATTGTTTTGATTTGTATTTCCCTGATGGCTAAGGATGTTGAGCAGTTCCTTAAGTGTCTTTCGACCATTTGAGATTCTTTTGAGAATTCTCTGTGTAGCTCTGAACCCCATTTTTTAATTGGATTATTTGACATTTTGATGTCTGGTTTTTTGAATTCTTTATATATTTTGGAGATTAGTCCTCTGTCTGATGTGATTGAAACAGCTTACCTGAGCTAATGGGAGCTCACTGACTCTGGACTGACAGCCTAGAACCAAACTAGACCCTCTGAATGTGGGTGCCAGTTGTATGGCTAGGGAAGTCTATGGAGCCACTGACAGTGGGATCAGGATTTATCCCTGCTGCTTGAATTGGCTTTTTGGAACCCATTATCTTCGGAGGGATACCTTGCTCAACCTAGATATACTGGGGAGAGCCTTAGTCTTGCCTCAAAGCAATATGCTAGACTTTGTTGACTCCCCATGGGAAGCTTTACCCTCTCTGAGGAGTGGATGAGGGGTGGGGTGAGGGAGGAGGTAGAGGGAGCAAGAGGTGGGGAGGGAGTGGGAACTGGGATTGGTATGTAAAATGAGAAAAGTTTGACTTTTAAAAAATAAATTAATTAATTTAATAAAGAGTGCATACTGCTCTTCCAGAGGACCTGTGTTCAGTGCTTACATTCATGTAGGACAACTCACAGCTGCAAAAACTTGGTCTGCAAATACCATTTCTAGGGGACCTGAGGCCTTCTTCTGGCTTCCTGAGTACTGCCCTCACAGGCACAAAGCCATGTACAGACACACATACGTATACATATTTAACAAAGCAAAAATGAATCTTCAAAAACTATTTTAGCTGTCATTGTTGGTCTGTGAGTTTCTCCCAACTGGAGGGCAGAACTTAGGGACAAGTAGAAACAGTTGGGGTTTTGGGCTCCTCACATTTCCTCCCAGGTCCTTAGCTTAAGGAAGTTAAGGCAACTGCCCACAATGGTCAGGTCTCATACTCTTTCAGTTACCTTCAGACCACGTTTTCTTTCTTAGGTTGCTCGGATTCTACTGAAGATGTGACCGCTGTCTCAGGAAACCCTCTCTGGCTGCGGCCTTCCAACATACAAACAAAAGATGTTTCCATTAAGTGGAAGATGAAACTGCAGGACTCAAAGTTTAAGATCCTGATTTCTTATCATTATAACAACAATCAAACTGAGGCTCTCAATGATATATATGATTTTAACCCCTCCAATTTTGCTCTTGGCATCAAGTCAGCTAAGCTGGAAGACAGTGGTTGTTATAACCTGGAGATCACCAACGATTCTGGAGGAGTTTGCACTAAGAAATTCTGGATTCTTATACTTGGTGAGTTTTTAGCACTGCTCACTCTGCCCCTCTGATTCTTGTAGGACTTGTATTTCCAGAACCCTCTGACCAGAATCTCTGCTTCCAGATCGTGTTGAGAACCCTGACCTGCAGGGCGAGTGGAAGACCCTGGCTGATGGGATGTGTCAGCTGTCTCTGTACTGCTCTGTGTCCAAGGATGACAATGTGAGCATTGCTTTGTACAGAGGGAGCAAGCTGATCTCAACACAACGGAACTTTACCTACCTGGAGAACCAGACTGACACCAGCAGTCTGCACACATATACTTGCAATATTAGCAACAAAGTCAGCTGGGCAAGCGACACATGGAACTTCACCCAGGGTTGTCAGAGTGTCCCTCCAAGTAAGTGGGGCACTTTGGCTCACAGCAGGGATTCCACATCCAGACTCACTCACAGGAGACCTGGGTATATGGTCTCATGGCCTTCTGGTCCAGTGCCTTGACTCCTTCCTTAGCAGGCATGCAGCCCCTCAGAGGCACAGGCCTGTCTTAGCCTGGAAGGATTTGTATCTTCCTCTTCTAGTGGAAATAGTACCATAGTTTTCCCTCCTAATGTGGAATATGTAGTTGTTTAGTGTCTTTTGAGATTCCCTGAATATTATTTTTCTAATTTGAGAGATTAGAGAACCAATTTCTCCCAAGTGATGTCTTACCTTAAGCTGGAGAGTTTTCTGGGAGGAAATAGCACTGTACCACAGAACCTTGTAAGTTGGAACAGCAGAAATGTCAAGTACCTAGAAGAGTTCTGCATTTATTGCTTATCCTGAATTACCGGAGTTAAGGTTACATCACGTTTTATTAGATAAAGGCTTAGTGTGCTGTCAGCATGGGCAATTGTAAGAAAAACAATCCAGTTCAAACCCAACTCAACCAACCCAACCATATACAACCCATCCTACCCTACACAAGCCATC